TTAGGGGTTAGTGACAGGTTAATGGCTGGACTCTGAAGTCATAGAGATTTCCTCTAGCCTTGATGGTTCTATGACTTGAGTTTATTCCTGCACTTGAGTTTTCATGGCTGTGTGGTCACTGTACCTGTGGGCCCCTTGCTTGGCCTTCCTTGCACCTATGTCATCTCATGAGCTGTAGGTTGCTGTGTGCCACAAAGAGGTAGAAGAGCAAAAGCAGCAGCGTTGGGAGAGCAGGAAGTCATAGAGATTTCCTCTAGCCTTGATGGTTCTATGACTTGAGTTTATTCCTGCACTTGAGTTTTCATGGCTGTGTGGTCACTGTACCTGTGGGCCCCTTGCTTGGCCTTCCTTGCACCTATGTCATCTCATGAGCTGTAGGTTGCTGTGTGCCACAAAGAGGTAGAAGAGCAAAAGCAGCAGCGTTGGGAGAGCAGTGCCTGACGTGTGTGTCCTGTGCCCTGCAGATAAGAAGGCAGAGATCGACAGCCTGGCAGCACAGTACATTGAGTCTGTGAAGAACATGCTGCCTGAGCAGAGGGTGGAGCACCTGAAGAAGATCCAGAGTGCCTACAGCAAGTGCAAGGAGTACAGTGATGACAAGGTGCAGCTGGCCATGCAGACCTACGAGATGGTGAGGCCCTGGAGAAATGGGCACTGGAGGCACCTCCACAGCCTCAGCTCTCCCTCACACAGCCATTTTTGTGCTTACATGTCTTACTGAAACAAGTTATTAGGCCCCAAGCTTATTTTTCTCACTGTTGCTATCCCCAAAAGGCTCCTCCTTTGTCACCAGGCTTCTCCCTCTGCTGCAGAAGTAAATGAGTTTATCCCTTTGGAGTTTGGTTGCTCAGCAGTTCCTGTCTGCTGTGTGATAATGCCACCAGATTTCCCTCTCTACCTCCTCCCCAGCACCTCCCCTGTCACCTGATTGTTTGTTTGGAGCTGGTCTGAGTCACAGGCAACATTTTAAAGCCAACTTGAGTCCTGAATTGTGGAGGGATGGCAGGAAATGTGCTCAGCTGCCTTGGTTTATTGACACCTATGGACCTTGGGGGGAAATCCCATTCATATCTCATCTTGGTTTGTTGTGCAAACCGTTAGTCTGAGTTGCTTTGACTGTCCTTTACATCCCTTCCCTTTTCCTTCCTTTCTCTTTCTTATAGAGGGATTGGGTCCTCTTGCTTTTGCCTAATTATAGCTCCAAGCCGAGCCAGGGGAATTTCATGCTGGAGATTAGGAGGAGGTGATTAGACTGGGATGTGCTGCCCAGGGAGGTGGTGGAGTCACCATCCCTGGAGGTGTTGAAGGACAGACTGGACGTGGCACTCAGTGCCATGGCCTTGTTGACAAGGTGGTGTTGGGTCACAGCTTGGACTCGATGCTCTCAGAGGTCTTTTCCAACCTCAATGATTCTGTGGTTTCCTCTCCACCTTAATTCCCTCTCTCTGTTTCACCTCCCTTTTCCCAGCCCGTGCCCCTTCCTTGCCTTGCTCTGAACTGCTCCACACTGTTCATGCTGACAGCAGCCAAGCCTCAGCCCTCCCTGCCGTGGCTGGGGCTCTGCTGGGTGTGTGTGGCTGCTGAGCTGTGGTTCCTGCTGTGCAGGTGGACAAGCACATCCGGCGGCTGGACGCAGACCTGGCACGCTTTGAGGCTGACCTGAAGGACAAGCTGGAAGGCAGTGACCTGGAGAGCCCTGGGACAAGGAGCCTGAAAAGTGGGTGCACTGCATACAGCTGAGAGTCCCTCCCGGCACTGAGAGAATCAAGCCAGGCAGGCTGAGCTGTGCAATAGGCTCTCTGCTCTGGAGGAAGGAGCCAAGTACACCATAATTCACTTCTCACTTCAGAATGTTTATAGTGGGAAATAGATGGAGAAAAATGTGGTGCTGGGATCAAACTTAGTGTCACTGTTTCACAGGCCATCCTGAGGTTGTTACTAGTTGTAACCACCTGATCAAGGGGCCACTTGAACCAAAACCATGCCAGGACTGAACTGGTGTGTGTGACAGTTTCAGGCTTGGTCTGTTACTGAGTGAGTGCTAAGCTGTTGTTGAAGGGAGATTTGCCTGTTTTCCTCCTTTTACCAGAATTACCTGAATGAGAGGAACAGGAAAAAGGAGGAGTTGAAGACAAGCGCCAGCTGCTGTAGTGTATACTGAAATCTTGTGTGATTACAGTGACACCTGAGTGTGGGTGACAGCAGCACAGCACAGTTTTGTGCCTCTGAGCTGTGGAGTAAGGGCTCAGGGAGAGAGAAAAGTTATCTTAGTTACTGAGTAACCTATTAACTGTGCTTAAAAATGTACTGAGATTGAAGAGAAATATCACCTGGCTAATCACATGTTGATGCTGTTTGTATCTTGTGCTGACATACTGCAGTGCTTTAATCACCAAAACTGCAAGCACAAGAGTTTGGGGCTCAGTTGTACTTGCTAATTCGGGGTATTTGTGGCATAAAATATATTTCAGGGTCAGCACATTCGGTTACCTATGAAATAAGGATCTCACTGCAGTAACTGCATCAAAAGAGCCACATCTGGGGATGTTTCTGGTGTTCAGACAGGCTGAAATAATGGATTGTGTTTTCTTGTTAGAGGGACGAAGTCAGAAGGACAAGAGAAGCTCTCGTGGTCGAGGCAGGAAAACATCTGAAGAAGACACACCAAAGAGAAAGAAGCACAAAGGAGGGTAAGGCAGCCCAGGCACAGCTCCAAGGCCTTGGGCTTCACACTTGATGCATTTTCCACGGACTCATGTTACCCTGTGTCTGGATGGTGAGCGAGGTTGGAGTGTCCTGGTCTGACTCCATTTCATTAGTGACCTGTGTTAATTAACTCCTTGACTGGCATGTGGAGGCTCAGCATGCTTGGAACTCTCTGAGTCAAAGGACAAGATCAACCTCTCTGTTGCTGTCAGCAGACTGGGAGAAAATAGCTTTGATTTTTGTCATGCTGCTATTTTTAACAGTTGTTTGTTGTCTTGGGTGTAAAATGCACCACACTTGCCCATCAGGAGAAAAACTGATGTTGTGTTGTTTTCTAGAAATCTTGGAGAATTTTGGGGGTTGTTTTCAAGGAGTTGTGTCCTAGACAGCCCTGAATAATGTGATTTGGGTTGGGGAAGCAAGGAAGAGAGCATGTGCCCTCTCTGTGGTATGATTGCTATTACAGGGGCTCTGTTAATTCTGGTACTTTCAGGTGGCTAAATGGAGGGGCAGGAGATGAAAAATAGTTCCTGTGGACTGTTACTGACATGTCAGTACATTCCTGTCAGCAAGAGGGTTCACTCATCCCTGACAAGAAGAAAAAAAGTGATATTAAAACAGATGGGGAGAAAAAAA